TATGATACTGTGTGTGAATTACCCTGCGTATTAAGAGATAAACGGCACTGTAAAAGCCTTTACGCCTCAAAACCTGGAGCTTCCTGTTGATAGTCTGTTCATATCGCTGCTGTTCTTGACACTCTGCTTTAAAACTGCGAACAGTCTTTATCGAGCCAATGACAGAAGACGCCAACTCTCCAGTCTCTGCATTACAGTCTTGAAGCTCTTTGGAGGTTTTCTGATCAGGAAGAGGAGAGACATTATGAATTTGTTATGTTCTACCCCATTAGTTTGTGGAAAAAAAAAGATGTGGAAAGAGTTAAGGATGATAATCTACCTGGGAGAGGCTGTTGTATGAATTCTGAAGGAAAGCAAGAAGTGGCATTTCGATGCAGGTGAGGAGAGTTAATTGCCAAGAGACACCCAGCATGAAGTATAGCATGCCGCAAGTCTTCACCATGCTCCGCAGTAACACATTCACATTCATGGCCACAGCACGTCCCATTTTATCAGTGTCGGAGATCAAACGGGATGCCAGATTACCTGTAAGAGAGAATGAAATTATTCCTAAATTAGCTTTGGCTACATTTAAAGGGAAAGTTCACCCAAAACTGAAAATTCTGTTATCATTTACTCACCTTTTACTTGCTCTAAACCTATGTGAATTTCTTTTTTCTGTTCGACACAAAATACGTTATTTTGAAGAAAGCTGGAAACCTATAACCATGGACTTCATAGTATTTGTTTTTCCTACTTTGGAAGGCAATGGTTTGTAGCTTTCTTCAAAATATCTTCTTTAATTATTAACAAAAAAAAAAGAAACTCGTAAATGTTTGAAACCACTTTATAGTGAAATAGTAAATTTATATTTTTGGGTGAACTATGCCTGTAAAATATTTCTCAAACCCACCGACAAATTCAATGTGTCAAGTTTTAGGGTGCTTTCACACCTTGGAATCGATTCAGTTGTTCCGAAACAGGGATTAAAATTGTTACATTGTTGCTCTTTGTTCTTGGTACGGTTCGCTTTCACAGGGCAAAGTTTCTAAACGAACCAAAAAAGCTAAAACAAGTCACGTGTGAGTAAACTTTCCACACATTGTGAGTGCACATCAGAGTTTCATGGTTTATTTTGCAGAGTCCCGCTCAGCTGTCAGGAGAGGTGGTGTTTGGTGGTGTTTGACAGGGTGCGCGCGACGTATCTGAAGAGCGAGGAGGGATGCGGTGGGGAGGGGTGAGAAAGGTGCGCGACTTATTTGAGGGGAAACGCGTGATTATAAAAAGAGATTATCACTTGTTTGCGGGCATCCGGGAGTCTCTGTGCATTTGCGGGAGAATCGGGATGTCTGTTGAATGACCTCCTGCCCTACTCATAATTCTCTCTTCATATAGCCGTATGCCTATTACATATCCATAAAACACTGTAATATAACATGCTCAGATCGTATCGCTTCCACACTACAATCGATCCACTCCAGAGTTTGTTTCAAGCGATCTCTGAGCGATTGTTTTGGCTGTTTCACATATGCCAAACGAACCGCGCTAACTGGGCAAACGAGACAGGTTCCGAAACAAAAATCTAGGTGTGAAAGCACCATTAACCTTCATTTTCAAAGGATTTAATATTTAGAAAATTTCTACATTATTTATTTCTTTATTTTTGTTTTTTATTTATCTATCTGTATTTTTGTACAAATGTACAAAGGTAATTTAGCTCATGCTTATTGTTTATGTGTAAGATTTTAGGTCAGTCTGATGGTGTATATTCAGATTTTTGATATCAGAAGTTTCTAAAGTGGTGCCCGCCAGTCCCACACCACTCAACCTACTCCAAGCTGGAATTGAACCAGTGACTCTAAAAAGGAGGCTAAAGACCATGGCCTCTAGCATCTGTCGCTAGAGCACCTTTTCGGCTTCAGAGGGGTGAGGTTTACCTGCACAGCACTTCACTAGCTGGCCTCTGTTACACTAACCCATCCGGGTCATTGCAGCAATGTAACCCTGCCGGTTTTACACCACCCAACCCGCTCCAAGCTGATATCATACCAGAAACTCTCCCCATGGGGGTCAGTTGGCTAGTCAAGGAGGATAAAGACCATGGTTTACCTGCACAGCTCTTTACTAGCTGGCCTCTGTTATACTTGAACCCTTAATCTCACTCCTATAGGTCACGGCACCAAGTTAACCCTGCCAGTCCAACACCACCCAACCCGCTCCGAGCTGATATCGAACCGGCAACTCTCCGCATGGGAGTCAGTTGACTAGTCAAGGAGACTAAATACCATGGTTTACCTGCACAGCACTTTGCTAGCTGGCCTCTGTTAAATCAGAACTGATGCTGACATTGATTTTCTAGTGTACAAAATAAAAATTGTTATAAAAATAAGTACATATTATCATTAATGTAATTTATGTCAATATTTAGAATAGTTTGTTTTGACTGTCAAGAATCCTCCAAAAAAGACGTCACACAATTAGGCCTCTTTGGTTTACCTGGTTTGATTTCATCAAAGAAGTCTATCTCCTGCTTCATGACATTCTGGAACAGCAAATTCCGTATTCTCTTGTTCAGTCTGTTGAGGCTAAACATGAACATCCCTCCGCGAAGACCGCTGAACATAGAGCTAAAAAACACAACACATCAGCATTTTATTCCAGAAGACAACCAATCAGTGCAAGAAGACATTACTTTTAAATATCTGAATACATTTACATAAGAATCTCTAACCTTCCAAGTGAGCACAGTGCCAAGAGTAAAATGGCCCAAGTGAAGTTGCTGTGCTGGTATTTTCCACTCAATATGTCAATAACCTTTCCAGTACAGTATGGGATGAACGTCTCAACTATAAAATAAAACCATCACATTCCATTAGGTCACCTTTTTTTTGTATTATTCTGGTATTATCATCTACTGCAAATGATTAAAGCAATAAGCATGACCTTTTATAACAGCTAAGAGGCCTTCTTTTTTAAAATTTTTAGTTCTCTTTATACTATGGGGACTGTTGAATGCTTGATTCTGATTGGCTGATGATCTAGGTTACGCACTTGTATTCAGAAAAAGGCACAGCTAAAATAATTTCAGGCAGGTCTTAACTGCATTACAATTCCCTATACACTAAAAAAATAATGTTTGCTGTTAGTTTGAACTACATATATAAAATAAGCTGAAACAACACAGTTCTTAAGTTTACTGGGGGACAACTTAATTGTTTAAAGTTCAATACACTTACATTTGTATAAATTACTAAACTAACTTAATTCCTTCATGTAGTCCCAACACAAATTGGTTTTGTTGAACGCAGCATTATTTTACAGTGTATACTACACCAAATGATTTCAGTTATTTTACACTCTACAACTGTCAATCAATCAACCAATAAAGGCTTAACATAAAATGTGTAAGAAACTAGTCCCACAAAGAAGAGGTTTAAGAAGAAAAAAACTGACAAATGACTTGACAAACTTAATCTGAAAGTCTTTTATGCGTGGTAAACATAGTATATGCAGAATAATTAACTCTGGTCTATTGAATTATTTAAAAATAATGCACTCCACATGCACAATGCAGACTGCAATATTTTAATAAACCAATGGCCTGTAGTCCAATATTACTCTTATTAACTAATCCACAGCTTCACAAAATCTACTGATTTTATAAAACAGTTATTTACACTGCACTTACAGTTGTACGTTTAGAGAAAGTTTTTGCATCATTAAACTCGAATCAACCAAATAGAATCAAGGTCCGGTGTCCTTACATTTTATCCTACCCATCAGATTATGCTACTAACACTGTATTCGAATGGTTTTGAGGTTGGGCTTAGGGATTAGGTAGGTTAGGGCGATATTTAGGCATGGGATGATAACCGTTTTCGAGGTATACCGCGGTGTGGAAAAATTAAGGGTTTAAAATCTCTAAAATTTTCTGTAATACCATCCCTAAGGTATGTATAAGATTTTATATTTACATTTTTTGTTTTGTTTGTTAAGACAACAGTATTTTTAGCAGAAAAAAATATCCAAATATGCCGTTTTAAATTGAAAAGAAATCTGATTTCAATGATTCATTTAAATTATTTAGCCTGACATGTTTACTGCTCCAAAATATTATAAATCTTTTAAAAAATAAAATATATTGTTTTCAAAAACTAAAAAAAGTTTTAGTTTTTACCCCGACATTTAAAAAAAGTGTATTTTAGAGCAGTAATCACAACACTGTGGTACCGTGATATTTTTATTCAAGGTCATCTTACTGTCAGAATCTTATACCAGCCCATGCCTTGCGATATTGCAGCTTCATATCACACTACTGCACATTAAAATTTACACTGGTAGCAAAATCTGATGGGTAGCATATTGTGTTATCTACCTACTTTTTGAATGGGAGGTAGGAAATTCTGACAAGGTAGGACAAAATGAAAGAACACTGGAACTATCTGTTTTATAAGATAATATAGTTTCTTCTATCTAGTTAAAAGAAAAACCTTGTGCATTAAAAAAATCAAGGATTAGTTCAGATAAATTAGGATAAAGACTCACACAGTGCCGCCAAGCTGAGGAAGATAAAAGCAGCTCCTAGATAAAGATAATCAAGCCTGGAGTAGCGAATGACCCTCATTAAAAGTGCTCTGGCCTCTTCATCTTTCTTCTGGTTTCTGCCACCCTTAGATGATCCACCATGTGGGAAGGCCATTTCCCACACCATATAAATGAGGATCGACGTAGCAGAGCTGAGAATCACCATACCAGGATCAGGAACAGGATTGAAGCCCCTCAGGGTGCCATCCAGCAATATCTGCATACTGTCGAACACTGGAGGTAAGAAGCTCAACAGTGCGACCCAGCGCTTCAGGAGAGGTTTAAGGTTGCTTTCTGGGACAAGTGTGCTCAATAAATAAAGCCCGGCGAAGGTGATGGTCCTGAGAGCCCACAGGCACCATAGATCTAGACTGCCCTCTCCATCCAGCCACAGCAGTATCGCCCATACACAAGCCCAGAAGAGAAGATCACAGAACAGCAGACAGAAGTGGACCAGGACAACCCTGGAGACGCTGACATGAGCCTGATCTGAATCCATCTTAAACCTGATGCAAAAGATAAACCATGATCCAATCTAGTTTACTGCGAACATTGTTAAGAATTTGGGTTAAATACGACCTGTGGATTGTTGTGGCAAAACAAAAATCTATGTCAAAAATCTATTTTGACTATAAAGGTTTAAGGCAAAGGTCTCAAACTCAATTCCTGGAGGGCTGCAGCTCTGCATAGTTTAGCTCATAGGTCTCAAACTCAAACGGTTTTGCTCCAACCCTCATCAAACACACCTGATACAACTAATCAAGGTGGTCGAGTCTACTCTTGAACACCTTAATTAGTTGGATTAGGTGTGTTTAAATAGGACTGGAGCAAAACTGTGCAGAGCTCCGGCCCTCCAGGAATTGAGTTTAAGACCTTTGGTTTAGCTCCAACAACCTTCAACTCACACCTGCTTAATAGTCTCTAGTAGTCTTGAACATCTTGACTAGTTGGATTGGCTGTGTTTGATTAGGATTGAAGCAAAACTGTGCAGAACTGCAGCCCTCCAGCAATTGAGTTTGAGACCTATGGTTTAAGGTAAAGATTAAAGTGAAAATAGACATGTTGCACACTAATCAGGCAGAGCACAATAAATGTGCCAAATGTAGAATGTTAAACCTGCAAGTAATGTATTTCATTGTTGTATTTGTAATGTAAGTAATGTATTAAAAAGTAATGTATTGTATTATATTGTTGTTTGTAATTGTATTGTTTTGGTAGCAGTATTTGTAAAGTGACGATTGCGGTGGGTAATCAAAATAGTTTGAGTTAACCATTAAAGTGTTGTTTTTATTTTTAGATCGTCATGATACAATGTTAAAATGTCATGTGGTTCTAACTTTTTAAACATAATGAATAGCATAGCCTGCGTGGTTATAATCACAATTTTTGCATGTATAAGGTCTAAAAATAAATATTGTTTCACTGAAGTACATTGACCAGATTGCCTTCCATATACAAAAATGTAAACAATACAAAAACACATATATCATAAATCACTATTCAGCTAAAAAAAATCGGTCAGTCCTATTCCAGCATATCAAAAGAGAAACATGTCACCAATTAATGGAAACTGGACAAATGTATCTGCTTTCAGTTTCTCCTTGCCTCACTGTTAACTTTGTGCTGTTATGGCCTTACCTATTTAGGTTTTTGACATATGACACAAGAAAGGTTTAAGTTAGTAATATTGCGATTACAAAGGTTTAAAACTCCTGATGTAAATCAGTTCATGGTTGACATTAGGCAGTCTGGTATCTGAGACCACCTGAAATAAAATAAAAAAACGGAACCAAGCAACTTTAACCAAACTAAAGGCTGTTGACCAGCTTAGGCTGCTTATAGATGTTTTCAGCAGCATGAATCTTTCGAACTGTAAATAAATCTGAAGATAAAAGCAATAAACAGAGTATAGATTTAGTCTGCTTACCATCTGTTGTCCTCGTTGCATTTTGTCTCAGGATCACTTTTGGTTTCACTTTCGCAGCTGTGGGCGACGTCAGATCCGTTTTCAGCTTCAGTATGAGTTAAATAGCAAGATACTTCTTAAAAACGACTTACAGTAGGTTCATAGTTTGCTTAAGACGAGGCAGTTTGCACACAACACGTTCATTTCTGTATATACTGCGTATGACGTTTCATGACGATGTTTTTCGTCGTCGACCAAATGGCTGCTGTTCCTCAAGTCACCGGCAGAGCGCGCTGTTTAACAAACAACACGAGTCTTGAGTGTCATTTCAGCTTTAAAGGGACAGAAGCGGCGAGAACAAAACATCTCACCAGATTAAGACCCTGTCACGGCCATAAAAACATCTGCAATGTGAACAAAACGAAGATGGATGGCCAACAGCATCAAAACTAAACTGCTTTGTTTTTTTTTGTTTTTTTTTTTGCACTAGGAGTGGCGTAAATTCAGGTATTTTGCAATATAAAACACATGGTTATATTAATATCAATAATATCCTTTTTACTACATAAATATCAGTTTTACAGTCTTTAGAAAAATATTCAACACTATTTAATTATATAAATCAAACATATAAACCATAAAATAATGAAAATATATAATAATAAAATAAAAAACACATAAATTAAATACAATAATCACATTATTAAAAAAATATTAGAAAAAAAAGTCAGGACAAAGCCCAAGATCACAACAGGGCTACACAGTACATCAAATATTGATTAGAAAGATTAAAAAAATATAATATAATATAATAAATATAATATAATATAATATAGTATAATATAATATAATATAATATAATATAATATAATATAATATAATATAATATAATATAATATAATATAATATAATATAATATAATATTACTGTAAAAAATTCTGGTAGGCCTAAATTTTTAAGTTGAATCAAATTAATTATATGAGTCCATTGGACTTATATTATGTTAAAATGACTTAAAACCGTGTGTGTAACTTATAAAGTTCAGTTAGAACATGATTAACTTTGTTAACAGTGAGTTAAATTAATTTTAGTTACAATGAACTAAAAACATATGCTGTCAGGACTGATCATATAATTTTTAACAGTGTATCATAAACTTTGCATCTTTTTATTTTGGAAAAAAATGGTCAAGTTTACCTCCCCATAATCAGAAATTGTGCTCTGCATTTAACACATCCAATTGCGCGCACACACACACACACACACACACACACACAAACACATACACACAAGCAAACAAACACACACACACACACACACACACACACACACACACACACACACACACAGTAGTTAACACACACACATCATGAACACAAACACCTAAAAACAGGTGTTTTGGAATAAGTTGTTAATTTTTTTTATTAAAAGGCTGATAAGTTACGGTTTATTTTATTTATTTATTTATTTGTTTGTTTATTTATTTATTTAATATAAAAAAATGCACAAAATGACAGTCAAAAAAAATCTAACGTTTTCCTTTTTAAGGGACTGAAAAGTATTATGTTTACAAATGGGTTGAAAAAAATCTTCTCTCCAAAACAGAAAACACATAAGCTGAAACATAATTCTTCTTGAAATTAATTAAAAAAAAAAAAAAAAGACTTTTCTTCAGTCGATAATTTCTTTATTCATCTTTAGTAATAAATTTAAACTAAGTACAGAAATAAACTTTTATGTTGTTGTTGTTTTTTGCTGCAAATATATTGTATTACACTTTGTGATAAAAATGATAGTCTGTCAGTGTCCTTTCTGCTTTCAGATATGCTTTGGCAAAGTAACAAAACAACAATGAAACTATGGCAAGACCACTATCAGTTTACATGAGGAGTTTACAAAAATCAGCAAATGAAATGTGACACTCTGTATTCAGCAGTAAAGTTACAATTCATGACACTCGATTTCAATGTGCTTCAGTTCAAACCCCTGTACAAATCCAAAACACACAATCAAACACCCCAAATGGTACATGTTGAAAACTTCTCATACAAAAAGCACATTGTTTTAAAATCATCTTGGTTAAAGAATATTGGTATTGGTGTAGCCCATGTGCAACAATAGCAAAGCAGTTTGTTATCCAGTACCTTTCCTACCCTTTAGAAACAACTGGACCAAAGACATCAAATCATCCTTTTAAGGGTCAGGTCTTTTAGTGCACTATAAAACAACACAGTGTGATATACTGTAGGTATGGAAAAAAATAAGAGACCATATGAAATATTTACTAGGTTTATTATGTTTGGATAAAACATATGATATTAAGGTTATTCTATTATTATGTATTTAAACATTTAATATTAATATAGTAGATATAAACATATCTGGAAAAAAGGCACTTTTTATGTACAAAAAGGCTCTAAATGACAGCATTTGTATTTAAAAGTTGGTATAAATGTTGTCAGGCCTTCATTTTTAAATTTCCTGACGTTAAAATAGGACCCAGTGATTTTAAGACCTACCGCAACGTGATGTAAAATGTGTGTGTACTGCAAAAGGCATTTGTGTGAGACTCATCATTTCAGAAAGGCTTGAATTAACTCAACCACAAATACATAAAATAAACTTGCTTCATATTTTTGACTAATGAGCTGGATTTCAGCTTCATTCGAGTCTGTCTCTGTGCTGTTTATCTGATGCATGATGAGAAGCAGACGTGTGAACAGAGGGCGGGGAGAATCAGCTCGTTTGCATTTATATCACAGGCTACAAAAACAGCTACACTGTATTCAGCCAAAATAAATAAGCACCAAAATGGGCCAATTCTGAAGGCTATAATAAATAATCTAATAGGTATTTTGAGCTGAAACTTTATAGACACATTCTGGAGACACCAAAGGCTCTTAAATCGTGTAAAAGGGATAAAATAGGCACCCTTTAAATGGTCTCTTATTTTTTTTCCATTTATTGTTGTACATCTTTCAAAAGTTTGGGGTCAGTAAGCTATTAGTTATAAGTTATTAGCACTTTTTTCAGCAAGATACATTAATTAATGCTGTGTTTTAACTTTTAAACCTTGTAACGTTTTAATGAAAAAAATTAAATCACACTTACTACCAAAATATTAAGCAGTAGGACCTGATAATAAAAAAAGAAATTAGATGTAAGATCATGAGATTCTGGAGCTGAAGACTCACTGGACATAATACCTTTTATCTTTGCCATGATGACAGTAACTAATATTTTACTAGATCTTTTTCAAGACACTTCTATGCAGCTTAAAGTGACATATAAAGGCTTAATTTGGTTCATTACGTTAATTAGGCAGGTTAGGGTAATTAGGTAAATCATAGTATAATGATGGTTTGTTCTGTAGACTATCGAAAAAAAAGTTGCTTAAAGGGGCTAATAATTTTGACCTTAAAATGGTGATTAAAAAATTAAAAACTGCTTTTATTCTAGCTGGAATAAAACAAATAAGACTTTCACCAGAAGAAATATATATGTACTATATATAGTAATCACTATAAACAAATATTTCACAATATTACAATACAACTGTTTGGATTAATCATTTGCAACAAAATAAAACAATCTTACAGACCCCAAACTGTTCAAAAGTAATATAACTGGCAAATATTGAGGAAACTGGATTTTATAGGCATGAGGTGAAACATTTCCTGCCTTCAAATAGCTTAATTTCCTGGCAAAGTAACTTTCTTAGGACAGAAATAATGAAGACAGCATTAACGGATGAGAATTGTTGTGCCGTGGCACTATTATACTGTTTAAGGCAAACCAGTAACATGAGACTGGGAAATGTATAAAAGAGACTGTAAACTCCATTCGTTTTCTCCTTCATTTCAAACCTCTAAAGACAGACCCTCTGCAAAATGTTATTAGTTTAGTTAGTTCCACCCAAAAATCACTATTCTGTCATCATTACTTCATCCTCCTTGTTGCAAATCTGTTTGAGTTTCTTTCTTCTGCTGAACAAAAAAAGAAGATACATAAAAGACTGTTGGAAAATGCCATTGACTTTTATGGCACGTTTATGACTTTTCACACGTTGTGTGAACTCTCCTTTTTAAAAAACTTGCTGGAAGGAATCGCCTTAAATTGATCAACTAAACTAGCTCATCGTATTTGAGTTGATTAAACTAGGTGAATAGCTGAGTTACTAATAAACTTGAATATTAGTAACTCGTTTTTAAAAATTGAGTGGTAGTCAAGCTGAGTAAGAAGTTTTACAAGTTGAGGGATAACTCATGTTTAAAAGTCAAGGCACAAGAGCCCAAGTAAAGCAATGCTGACTACAGACTTCATTACTTTCAAAAAATCATCATCTAAACATCTGTTAATTCTTAATAAGAGCCTTCTGTACACTGTAAAACCCAACAGTCAGCTTTATCGAATGGAATTAGTGTTGTTAACTCAAAATTTACTCATTTGAGAGTTTTGAACTCAGTATTGAAGGTAATGAGTTTATTAAATACCTCATTACTTCAATTTAAATGGAGTAAATTCACAGTACTAATATTGATTGGTTTAACTCAAATGGTTTGTAGCGATCAGTTTCCTTCTTTCGGTTTGAGTTGCCCTAACTTATTGGGTTTTACAGTACTCAGTTGGCTTGAGTTCTCTTCATTCATCTGGTTTTACTGTGCTCAAATTGCTTCGTTTACTAAAATATATTAAGTTCACAGTACTCATTAAGATTAGTTTTTGAACTTAAATGGTTTGCTGCAATTGGTTTCCTCATATGGTTTGAGTTACCTTAACTTCTTTAGGGTTTTACAGTGTAGATGTACAGTGTGAAAAAATTATATGAACATAACATATGATTTGATGCTTACTATTACTTATTAAACCAAGTAATTATGTTTTGAACTTTAATTTTGTATGTTATACAAGCTAGCTGTTAGCTAAACTGTTGGCCACTCACTTGACTTATATAGTAGGAAAAATACTATGGATTTCAAGAGCTACTAGTTTCCAAAATTCTTCAAAATATCTTCATAAGCGTTAAAATGAAGAAAGAAACTTAAACAGATTTGAAATGTGGAGGGTTAGTGAAAGATGACAGAATATTAATTATGGGTAAATTACATTGTAAAAAAATGTAAATTTGCAGTTTTCTGTTTTTTGCGATTCCTTTTTTAATTTTCCCTGTTTATTTATGCATTTGAAATGCATTATGGGACCTTGATCTTTCATCCACCAACTTTTAACCTTAAAAATAAAAAAGTGACTTTTATAAACATTTCTTATAGTTTGAAGTGATATA